GTCACCTAACCCCCTCCTCTCAGTTTCCTGATAAACGCCTACTCCAAAGAGCAGAATCCAAGGGTCCCAGCCCCACCCGAGCACCTCTGCACACTGCCCAGCCCTCACTTCCAGACAAAATCAAGAAGGTCTAACCAAAGAGGGTGAATCACACACGCACCCCCATCTCTGGCCCTGACGGAGTTACTGGGTTATGTGACCCTCTGTGGCTTCCCTTAGGGAAATGTTCCCAGTCGTTGGTTTCTGCATCCCAGGAAGAGTTAATTTAAGCATTTATGGCTACCTGCCCTGACCAGAGTTGGTTTAGGCCTGAGCACAGGAAAAATGCAGTATTTCTAGAGTCATTCCTCCTCTCTCTCCACAGGGAACCTGTTTCTAGGAAGGTCAAAATGCTAAGCAGAAGTGTCTTCTCAAGGCCACATTGATCAAAGCAAGGCACCAGCAAAATAGGAGATTGAAGCAACCTGGATTCATTTGAGACCACATACACCAGGGGTATTTTGACTAAAAGTGCTCTTGGGAAATCCCACCTCCTCCAGGAAGCTTTCCAGAGTAGTTCAGAGAAGAGCTAAAAGCTCAGCTTTTGTCTTATCCAGCTGGAACACTTACAGGTAACCGCATCCCTGCCCCATCTCCTTTACGGTTACTACACACAGAGGTGCTCAGTAAATTTTTGATGAATGAATGAATGAATGAATGAATTCTTAAGAAGTGTATTGACCACTTACTATGTGCCAGGCATATCTTGGGAGACAAACTGAAATCAGACAGGGACCCTGGCCTCACAGACCTTACAATCTGATGAATGATACAGATACGTCATGAATGCCTCAGTGTTCATTCATAGCTTCACCCTGCCCTGCCCAGTGCACCCAACCGTCAAGCACATTTGTAAAGTACCTATTGTGTGCCCAGAAGGTAGAGACACAGAGATGAAAGACCTGGCTCCGCACTGAAGGCTTTCACAAACTATCAGAGGCACTGAAGGGCGGGGAGGGGGAAGGAGTGAACAGATAAACCACATGTATTTACATCACTGTGTGGTAAGGACGGGGATGAGGATTTTTTGGGCTGTTCTGAGAGCACGTAAGAACCTATAACTCCGAGAAGCAGTGCAGCATGTGGAAGGAACCCTGGCTTCCAAGTCCAGGTGAGCCGCTTGCCTGTAACCTGTGACAAGAATGCACCTCCCCTTCAGGGTCAAGATCAAATGAGATCATGTCCGTGAAAGCACTTTGTAAATTGTAAAGTACCATTCAAATGTTAATAATGGAATTTTCTTGATGACCATGCCATTTCTGTCCACAGCAATATTGTTGGACTGGCTTATTTGGATGAAAGATGTATTTCTCCCATCCCTTTTGCTCTTTGCAGCAGCTTCTCTGCCCAGTGGCTCGATTTCTTTTCTACTAAGGAGAGGCTAGCCTTGCTATATCCCCTCTGCCCTATGTTAAGGAGCTTGAACATTTAGAGAGAGTCTAGCACAGGCCCACAGCCCCAAGCAGGGGCCAGAAGTGGTTTCCAAGCTGTTAGCCTTAGCGCTCAGCTGACACGGAGAGGAAGGGCTTGTTACTGGAATGGAATTCTCCCGCACCAAATCCTAGCTGGGAGGGGAGACTGGGCTGGAGAACTTCCAAGTTTGACTGCAGAGCTTTGAGAATGTTGCATCTGTTCCAGCAAGGGAATTGTAAGTGGAATGCAATACAATCGAATGTGCTAGAAAACACTCCAGCCTCTGTTGTCTCATGAATGCCTTTCTCCGTAATATAAAAACTCTTGAACATTTTTAGAAACCTTAAAAACTCATTTTGCTGTTTTTGCCTTGAATATGATAAAGCCATGATTTTTAGTAAATGTTTTTATTTTTAGATAAGCACTTTACTAAATATAATACTAATTTAATACAATATGTAATAATATTCATAAAAACAAACAGATGCCAATCTCATTTAATAAATGATGCAAGATGTTAAATTAATTTAAAATAACTGTCCAAAAATGATTTGTCGGTGAGTATATTTTGAAATAACATACTGTGTTTTCTTGGGGAGCCATATGAATATTAAGACAGACTGAAATTTCACTATATGTTGAATGATGGCATCAAAAATAGACATAAACTTTTTTATTACCTACTAATGGAATTCTTGAGATTTCCCCTGAGTTATTTTGATAAATTTTAATGTTTTATTTTTAAGTGACCAGAAAGAGGAGAAGGTTTTAGATTGCTATTTGCAAGCACATCTCAGAAAATAAAACACATGGACACAGAGTATTTTCATCAAATGAAAAGTCAAATTAGATATTATGTTACTAATGATTTTTAACATTACTTTTCAAGGGATTAGAGAATCTTGGTTGCTGTGGAATAATTTTAGTCAAATGAACATAACAAGGATCTGCGTAAAGAGCGTCTTTAGGCTAATTTGCAGAATTATTATCATTTACGTGCAGTCATTAACTTACTGCATATTAACACTAGTGTTCCACAAGCACTCTAAGTTTAAACAATATGTCAAAATTGACTATAGTGGAGCCATTTTAAAATGGAGTTGGAGCCGCCTTTCCAGAGAAACTGCCTTGCTGTCTTGACCCTTGGACTGGGCCAAACCTTTGGACTGGGCCAAAATGGCAATTGTTTGACAACCAATTGTTTGAGAAGTCAGTAGGAGAAGGGACATCCTGATCACAAAGACCGAGGATTGTGGATTTTCTGAAGATGGAATCAATAGTCAATCAATGTTTAGCCAAGACTAGCTCTCTGCCTCCAACTCCAGTTAAAATTCTTTGTAATACAACCTCCCTTCTTTGCCTTTAAAAGCCCCTGACATTTACTCCCTAGTGGGACATTATTTGGGTTTCTACCTGAATCTGTGCTCCCTGAATTGCAATTCTTTGATCCAGATAAATGCTTTGCCTCTTAAACTGGTTTCTGTTATTGTAGGTTACAAATACCTCATTGTGGAATTAAATAAACACAATATGACCAAGTATAAACAGATTACAACTTTCTTATCAATGTGTGGAGCTTGATTAAATCCTCAAAGAAATAAACTGGAAAAATCATTTGTTGGAAATAGGGAAATTTGAATATGGACTGGGTATTAGATGATACTGGGAAAATAATGTTAATTTTGTTAGGAGTGATAATATTGTACTGTAGTTACATAGGAAAATTTCCTTATTCTTTTGCAGTGCATACAGAAGTATTGAGGGGTGAAATGTCATGTCTGGGATTTATTTTAAAATACTTCACAAAAAAATACATAAAGCAAATATGGCAAAATGTTAATAACTATTAAGCCCTAGTGATGCGCATATGGGGGCTCCTTACACTTTTCCCTCTACTTTTCTGTGTGTTTGAAAATTTTCATAATAACAAGTAAAAAAAAAAACCCACAAAGTGAAATAAAATGTAACCACTGAGTGGTCCAACACCCACTGGCTCCCTCTAGTGGTGTCGAGCTGCATGCAAATAGGTGGCCAGGCAAGTCTTGAACATGCTCAGTCTGTCTCCTCCAACTGCCACCAGCCACTATCACACACTCACAGGAGGCTCTCAAACTGTTTTGTTCCTTTATTGGTTGTTATTGGTTTTTTTAAGCTAGAAATGGAGGCAAGCATCATTACTGCCTTTAACAACCTAAATTCAAAGGAGCAACTTCTGGCCCCTCAAAAGTTTGAGGGCCACCAGTTGGTATTTGCTGCCATAGGACAATTGGCATCTGACGCGGTGGCTTCTGTCTGTCTTGACTGAGGTGAACAGGGAAGGCTTTCATGGGTGGCCAGTTACATAAAAAAGAGCATGAGGCTGAAAGCCTCAGGTCTTGTCTGTGAGGAGAATAGGTATATGTAGGGTGGTGGGGAGGAAAACAGTAGACATTCTCTTCACCGACTTCCTCTGAACCCCTCCAGGTTGACCCTGACACTCCAGTCCCTCAGAAAAACATGCCGACCCACGTCCCGGGCACCCAGAAAGCTCATGGCTAATAGATCCTTTCTAGCTCTCCCCAACACTTTTGCCCCTACCAACTCAGTTGCCTGCTTACCAAGGGTGGCTTCTGTTTGTCTCAAAACTTGTTTATGCTGGTTGTTCTTTATTGTTATTTTTTAAGTACACACAAGCCAATAAAACTTAAGTGTAGAACTCCCATCAGACAGCCTATACATGTCACAAAAAAGTGAACACATCTTGGACCTATAATAAAAGTTTGGCAACTGAATGAACTTTTCTTTGTCTTCACATAAAATATGTAAGATGTTTAAGGTGTATATTTTTATTAGTCATTCTCAACTTTTATGAGTGATGTTAATGAGCCAATCAACTCCTCTATCTTGACAGTGTTGCATAAGAGGTTTTCCACCATCCTATGATTCTCTGTCCCCATCTGACTGAAAATTATCTAAAACCAGATCATTAAAAAAATTTTTTTTCACTAAGCTTGGTCAGAGAATATATGCATTTTCCCCTTGCAGGGGAAACATTTCTAAAACATTTCACTCAGGTGCCTTGAAGTCAGTTAGAGGTCTGGGCTTCCTTTTCTCTGAGGAAAGCCAAAGAGCAGTCATGAACAGATGCAGAAGAGACCCTGGAATCAGAAACCTGGGCTCTCCAGAGCAGCGAGTGAGAAGGCCTTGAAGTTTAGCCTCTGGAAGGAGCTGCTGGGGACTGGCCACCTTCCACGTGATGACACTGATGGGTGGGGTAATGGCAACCTACCTCTGGCCCCCCAGCTACCTTAGACCCCCACCCAAGGCAAGGTAAGTGATGGGTCAGACCACAGCCAGGAGGCCACGCAGCCCTTGGACCTGTCCCATCATAGCCCAGGGCTCAAGGACTCAGGGGCAGAGACTACGCATGCAGGAACAATCTCACTGCCCATGGGGATCTGGCTGCATTTTAAGGTGGAAGAAGCCTGGCCCTCTCTGAGCCTCACTCAGCTTCCTCATTCACTGGTCCGGGAGAGTGGTCTCTGTGGTCCCTTCCAGCTCTGCCCGCCCATACAGCTGTGACTCACCTGCAGTGGCAAGAACAGCCAGTCACCAGCAGAGAATGGACACTACTCAACAGGTCCCTCATCATTATCCAGGGAGAAGGGGTGAATGGGACATCTCTGAAGTTGGAGTGAGAACTCAGGTCTTGGCAAAGAGGCAGAGCAACACTTTCCCTTCCAGACAGACACAGAAGACAGGGATGGGGCTGTGGTCTGTCTGCCAAGACCCTGAATCTCTGTGCAGCAGGGGAGGGGCTGCTCCAGCCCACCTGAGCAGGAAAGGGAGGTGATCAGGCTGCATCTCTAAGCCCTGACTCTGGGCCTGGTGGCCACTGGGAGAGAGTGGGTGGGGAGGGGTTGCTCCATCTTGCAAGAGTGTCTTGAGAGGGGGCCGCCTCTTTGGTCCCCTCATCAGGGCCGAGTGGGGAGGTTCCAGGACCGTGGACCCGTCACCGGCCTGTCCTGCCCTCCCACAGGTGGCTCGGCTCCTGGGCGGGGGCGGGCGGCTCAGTCCTCTTTGGGCGCCCGGAACTCGGGCATGCTCCAGGCCCGGGGCGGCGGCGGCGTGTCCCGCTCCACGTCCTCCGAGATGGTCCGGATGTCGCTGGCGAAGGGGGAGATGCGCGCGCGGGTCTTGAAGGTGCCCAGGCTGCCGCGGGGCCGCAGGCTCCACTGCCGCGTCAGCTTGTGGGCCTCCTCCTCCTGCTTCATCCTCTCCAGGACTTCCTGCAGCACGGAGCGGAAGAGCCGGGCCACCTCCTGCACCTCGGGCTCCAGCTCCACCATCAGCTGCCGGAACCTGGGCGCGGACGGGGAGAGGCCCGGTGGGGCGAGTCACGCCGGCGTGGCATGTGGCCCGTGCACCCCGTGGTCAAGTCCCATTTCCTCCCCTCTCCACTTCTGAAGTGAGTCAGGAACCACCCCACCTTCCTATTGCTCCAGCCAGTCCTGAGGTCCTGGGTTCAAATCCCAGCCCTGCTGCTTTTGGCCTCCGTGAACCTCAGCTTCCTCATCTGTAAACTGGGGTCATAGCTTCCTTTTTGTGAGGTTTAATGAGCTCACATAGGTAAAGATCCAGGCACTCACCTCAGGTTACTGATGCCAGAGTAGTAAGGGGATCCCACTGCTATGCCGGCTTTACAGATGTGAGGCTTTCTGGCTAACCCTCTCCCACTTCCTTGCCCACTGGCCAGAGGGATCTCTCTGAAATGTTTTTCTGATTATGTCACCGCCGTGCCATACTCCTTCTGTAGCTCTGTGCTAGCTCCTGGGTTAGGGGGAGCTGTTTGGCCATGCACACGATGTCCCCTGCTATCTCCTGGTCTGCACTCCAGCCAGAAACAACCACGTGTGGGTCCGCCAAAGCCCCAGGTTCTCCTGGGTCCCTGTGTGTGTCCCAAGCCCTTTCCTCTGCCTAAAATGCCTTTGCTTAGAGCTCAACAGTGAACGACAGTTAGCAAGTCCATTTAATACTTGGTTTCCGCCGCCGTATATATTTGCCTCAGGATTTCTCACACTTTCCAGCAGTGACATGAGACAGGAAATGTGACAGGACAATCATTACCGAATGTGTGTTCCCAGCCTCCCCCTCATTTATGAGGTTTGGTTGCCAGCTTAGAGTCTCTTATCAGCACCGCCCCCCATGACTCACCCCGCCCCTCTCCCCAGGATGCTTCTAGAACTAGATACATTTTGCGGGGCTTCCATGGCAGAATAAGAAACATGGGGGAGGGTAAGATTCTCAGCCTAGAGAGAGAAAGGTGGGGGCGGGGGGTAAAAGGACTATAAAATCCAAAGGAGTGTGGATGGGACTGGAGAAGGAGGAGTTTTTAAACGGAATTTCAAAAAAAAATGTGTACAGTCATTACATCCATTGGTTAAAGAGATGGGTAAGGGAAGATTTCGGAGACTAAGGGGATTTTAAAATATTTTTTTTCTTGTGGATTTATATTCCTCTACTAGTGTTTGAGAAATGCAGTTAAAGAACTTGAGATACTTTTGAAATTATTTTCGAATGTTGGATTACACTTCTTTGACTTCAAACATGAATCCAACTGAGACTGGACCATGTGGGTCACAGCTTTATTAAGGTTATATTCAGGGACATAGTTGTACCCAAGCTCTAAATCTCTAAATGTTCAGTGCCTGTGGCTCTGAACCCTTCACACACACACAGACACACACGCACACATACTCACACTCCTTAGGCAAGCCAGTGTGAAAGCCAGTGTGAAATAGGATAATTGAGAAACCAGTTTTGGAGAGTTTATCTGGGAAAACTTCTCTAAGAAGATAATATGGAAGATGAACTGATGATGGAGGAGCCAGCTACATTAAAATCCAGGATAATAGCAATCCAGGCAGGGAGACCAGAAAGCTCAAAGGCCTTAGGTTCTCTCCTCTTGAAACTCATGTGCCTCCAGGAGCCACCCCCTGCCTCCCTTTGAACCCCTAGCCCGCCTGGTGTTCCATGGCTTCTTTCAGATTCCTCCTCCTGCCTTGCTCCTTCTAACAGATAACGGGGTCATCCAGCCCCCTGGGTCCAGTCCTGGTAGCCTCAGGCCGCAGCCACTGCAGCCACCCTCCCTGGAGCCTGCAGCCCAACACTTGGTCCCCGGGCCGGTACCTGAGGATGGCGGGCCCACAGTAGGACGGGTGGATCTTGGCACAGACGTCCTCTAGCTGCAGCCGCTCCCCAGGGCTGAGGTCGTAGGTGGGCCGGGGCGTGCTGGCCAGCCAGCTGTAGTCCACTCCGGTGCAGATCTTCCTGACTGCATTGCTGCGCTCCCGCTGCTGCCTCTCAGCCTCTCGCATCTGCCCCGCCAGCTCCATCATGAGGGTCTCCAGCACCATCTCAGCCGGGTTCCGAGCTGACAGCCGTGGCGGGGCCTCGTTCCACCGGAGCCACGGGATGAGGGGCATGGCCCCCGGGCCCTGCTGAGACAGGGCAGGAGTGTGTCTTCCTTGGGCCTCTCTGTCAGGTAGGATGGGGAGAGGAAGGGGGCAGGAGGGGAGCTGGGGCCCGAGTGGGATGACGGCTTCACTCTCACAGCTGGGTGGCCTCAAGTAAGTCGCTTAACCTCTCTGAGCAATCATTTCTAATTCTGTAAGACAAGATAGGGCTGTTGTGAGAAGCAGTTGTGAATAAACTTGGGACACTCTCATGGCTATAAAGATCCCTAGAGCATCTGGATGATTGAGCCCAGAGAAACTGCCTCCTGAATCCCTGCTAACTCCAAACAAAGCAGGAAACAGACTGTATACAGCTGAGCACAACTTTATCCCTATGAGTTAAGGAGAAAAAAATAGGGGGCTGACCCAGTGGCGCAGCAGATAAGTTCACACATTCCACTTCGGTGGCCCAGGGTTCGCCGGTTCGGATCCTGGGCGCGGACCTACTCACCACTCATCAAGCCATGCTGAGGCAGTGTCCCACATAGAAGAACTAGAAGGACATACAACTAGGATATACAACTATGTACTGGGGCTTTGGGGAGGAAAAAAAAAAAAAGACACACACGTGTTTAGAATAGGTGCCTACATTCTATGTCAGCCTAACAGGAAAGCACCCCAAGTTCCTAAATGCCCCCAGCCTATTGCTGAAGGAAGCTTCAAATTACATGATGTTGACGTTATCCTGCAAAAGATACGACTTACTCACCATTCATTCATCCATTTATTTGTCATTCATGCATTCATTCATTCAGAAGCATTAATCAAGCACTGTGTACACATCTGTGGAGGAACACAAAAGTGAAAGCACGTGAAGGGCACTGCTCTCCCGCAGATACAGGACTTGATGAGTAAAAACCATAATATCAGTGGAAAGAGGTAAAGGTGACGGGTGAGAGTCAGTATTGATGGGGGGAGGGGAGGAGGGACTCTAGATGATGAAAGGGTCACAGAAGGCTCTGTGGGTGAGAGCAGGCTGAGGGGTGAGTGCAGGCTTCAGACACATAGACTGATGGAGAAGGTGTCCTAAGTGGAGGACCCGCCATGGTACAAGGTGAGTCATGTGCAAGGATCATCAGGTGCAAGACCCTAACTCAGCATCGTACTCCCACAGGGTCCTGCTCAATACGGGTTTAGTGAATGACTGGCTGACTAGATGAATGGATGAATGGATGAACGGATGAACGGGTGAATGAGCTGCCATCTCAGGCATGCCCTGCTGCCTGTCAGAAGTGGGTTTGTACCTCTGACAACAGTGAATGTGAGCACCATTCCTGGGCTAAAACCTAAAGTGGGTATTCGGGGTGCCCCACCTCCCCTTTCTATGCCCTTCCCCTCTCCAAGGAGCTCCCCCTTCCATGCACTGATGGTCCTCTTCCTGCCTAGACCCTCTAGGGGTCTGCAACTCCTGGCTCCCCAGCTTGGCAGTAGGCATAACCTAGTTCCCCAAACTGATGCACCATCCTTGTCTCATTCATCAAATCCTGTATCCAAAGCCTGTTGATTCTCCCTAATTTAAATATTGTGATTTTCCCAAATCTGTTCACTCTCCCTTCCTCCACTAGTTCAAGCCTGGACCATCTGCCAGATATATTATGGCTTCTGCCTTCTAACTGGAACCGAGGGCTGATCCTCCCGATCCAATCGCCACTCTTTTCTTTTTATTGTGGTAAAAAAAACAAATAACATAAAATTTACCATCTGAAGCATTTTTAAGTGTACAGTACAGTAGTGTTAACTAGAACTTTTCCGTCTTGCAAAACTGAAACCCTATGCCCATTGAACAACAGTTTTCACTCTGTTTTCTTAAATGTGATCTTTCTAAAGCATAAATCTGATTATGTCACTGTTTTGTTTTCACTAGATACCACAGCACAGTGCATGGGGTCTGCGAGCTGTATAAGGGCCTGTTGCCCCCATACCACCTCAGCTTTCATGTCCAAGGCTCGTCCACACTCCTACCAACAGCCACCTCTTCACCCCCCTCAGACCAGGGTTGTTCACACTGGTGGTGTCGTCCAGCCTCGGGAGACTGGGCCTGTGGAGGAGGCCTGCTCAGGGTCTGGAAGTAGAGTCCTGGATCTCAGTACCTAAGGCCTGATCTAGAGGGGAAGTGACCTCAGGGTGGGCACATCTCCTTAACCCCCTAGACTCCTCACCACAGGTGGGGTGAGGCCAGAGGAAAGCCAGAGAGTGCAGCCTAATGTGCAGCCCAGGGCAAGTCCCTCTTCCCAGGGTTTAAGGCTTATGCACCTGCCCTGAGTTGGCCTCTAGAGACAGGCATGCATCCCATGTCAGATGGCAGGGGCTGCGTGGGTGACCCCACCTGAGTCCTGGGTTCTGTGGGCTCTGAGCTTCTCTGGCCTGGTGGTGGGGTCTCACAGGGGCAGAGTTCTGAATTTTCTCCCCTGCACCCCCCATTCTCCTCCCCACAACCTTCACCAGGGCTGGAGGCTCTGGCAGAGACAAGGTTTCTGCTGGAGCTATTTCTGTCTCTGTTGCCAGCTGTTCTCCCAGGAGGCTCTTCAGCAGGTCTGATTAAGTTCTTAAGGGCAAAGGAAGGGGGGAGAAATAGAGGGAGGGAGGGCAGGACAGAGAGGCAGATGGGTCAGACAGAGGCCAGAGATGGCTGGCTTAACCCAGGGCCTCGCCAGGACCTGACCCACGGGCAACACCTTGTGTGAGTCTGTGTTGTGACCGAGTGTCTGGGGAAGAACATGATGGCAGGGTGTGGTCTGATAAAGACGCCCAGAACGTTCATCAGAACAGCAAGGGTGGTCTTCTCCGGGTGCTTTGCACGCTTAGGATTCTGCCCCTCCCTTGCTCTGGATTAGCCCCCCTCAGTGTAAGCTTTAAGGCCCCTCACACTCCTGCTCACCACCAGGCGTGACAGCACCATGGTGACTCCGGAACCTTCCCATGAGAAATGCCTGCTTCCCATTCAGTCAATGATGCCTACCACCTGCCTCCAATGCATTAACATTGATTGAATTCTTTTAAAAAAAAAAATTAGGAGATTTGGGGGAATTTAAATATGAGCTCGATGTTAGGGAATGACTGTTGACTTAGGTATAAAAATGATGTTATGGTTATAGGGGAATACTGACAAAGAGCCCAATCTTAGGAGGCGGTGCTGAGGTGTTCACAGCTGCAGTGTCACAATGTCTTACATCCAAATCATTCAGAAAATGTTATATATATACGCACACATGCACATAGGGCAAATATGGCAAAATATTAGTAATCATTTTATTTAGGATGGGTAGTATTTTCATAACACTTTAAAGCTGCTTTTCTTGAAATATCATTTATGCTCATCACTGTTATAAAATCCTGGTATTTGTTAGACCTGCCATTACATTTTATTATTTTACATGTTGGTAGAGAGGTACATGTATTACCATATCACAAATTGTTTTAAAAAAAATATGTCCATAGCTGCATTTCAGTACAGCTGGTTTCTTTTGTGATCCTATGAACTTAATTTTGTGCATTTAGAAACATTTTGCTGAGACTGCGTCCACAGGCTTCACAGACTTCCAAAGGGGCTTGTGGCATAGAAAGTAAAGGAACCCCTGCCTTGGTGCAAGTTTGACCCCAACCCTGTTCCTGGCCTTGCCCTAATGCTGGCTTCTGGGAGGGCTGAGCGCCCCACCCACCTCGTATGAAGGGAAAGCTCGGGTGGTGGAGCCCCGGTTGACCCAGCCGGCAGCAGGAAAGCCCTCACATGTTCTACCTCCGCCCTTTGGCCTCACTCACCAAGGCCGTCTGTCTGTCATTCCCCGTTCTTCCCTCTCCTCCTCCCTTTCCCTTTCATTATCCCTTCCACCTCCATACTCTCTGAGCCCTCCCTTCAGCCTATTTTTGAACATCTCTGAGGATAATGTCTTTTCCGTGGCTCCCTGGGAGACACTACCACCTCCTGTGGCTCGTTAGATACGCTAGAAAAAAACCATCCCCAGGCCTCAAGGGCAAGAGGAGTGTGGTTCCAGGCAGTTAGCAGGTGGAGGGGGACCAGGGAGGTCTCAGCGGTGGGAACAATGGAGTTGTATCCTTGGAGTTGGGAGCAAGGCTCTGGTCCCCCTGCAGGAGGTGTGAGAGGTTCACCTGCCCTTGGTGAGTACAACACCACCAGCCCCCCCTCCCGCCCCCAACCAAGCAAGGACGGTGCAGGCCCTGCCGGGAAGCTGTTCTCTGAGCACAAAGGCAGCCCCGCCCAGGCTCCACCTCTGAAGCTGGGCTCTAACAGCTGAGCTGGACATCTGCAGGCCATGGCGAGGAGCTGCCCTGCATGTCCCCCAGGACCCGTGAGCACAGAGCGGCACCTGCACTGGGCTGTCCCAGGGCACCCGCCACTTCACCGAGCAGTCAGAGCGGCTCTGCTGAAGCCAGACCCTGGGTCTGGGCAGAGGCCTCGCAGAAGGTGCGGAGAGTAGGCGCTCCCCTCCCTGACGGACCTTCCTCCCAGCCCCGTTTTTGCCAAGGTACAAGGCCAACTTCACAGATTGCAAATTGACCTTAGCGGGTTTTTTTGGCAACATAGAAAAATATTTAGAGTAATTCACCAAGCCAGGTGTGACTCAGATCTACACCTAGAGGTGCAACTAGGAGGGGTGAGCGCTCAGATCCAACTGACCACAGTTGGAGGGGGCTGATCCCCAAGGAACTCTACCCTGATCCCACAGTCGCAGCTCAGACTTTCCTTCCCAAGCCTGGTCCTCTCCCTGGAGCCCACCCTGCACTGCTCTGTCCAGGCCCGCTCTCCTGGGTGTGTTATCAGGACTCAGACAGCTCCGTGACTAGGAGGACTGAGGCCCACACATCGCCAGTGTGTTTGTTCACTCCTGTGTCCTGGGAGTCTGACTCTGCACCTTGGGTCTAGTAGGTCCTCGAGTCACAGTTCTCAAATCGATGAGAGAATCTCTGAGGTGGGTTTCACCTTGCTTCCCCCTGCCTGTGTCCCCCCCACAAAAGCAGAAGAGAAAATGCTGGGGCTGTGTCCTTCCAGACAGCCTGCTGGTTCTAGAGCAGACAAAAGATATGGCTTCCCCTGGGTCCATAAGGCAAGGACCAGGCCACGGCCCGGAGGTTACTGCAGAGTCCGTCCACTCCTGTGGAACAGATGAGGACTG